GGCTTAGTGTAAACAGACAGAGTTTATACTACAATTAGGTACGAAGAGCTATGTGCAATAAAATGCAGTTCCTCTAGAGAGAAACTTTAGAATGGACAGAAAGCCAGAAATTAAGCCAAAAAGATAAACACACTTTGGGGTTTAGTTATACTTTGGAACATTGTTTATAGAATGAGAAAAATCTAACAATGTTGCCTGCGGACACAAGGCACACTCACTGATGAGACACATGGCTGCACGCTGAAAACATCTGGTCTGTAAAATAACTCCACATTTTTCAAGACTAATTAGTACAAAACCCAGTGATTTCTGGCAATAAAGAATGTCACCTTATTTCTCCATTGTCTTTTCCCTAACATACTCATTTTCTAACTATAATAGATCAATAAGATCATTCAAATTTCTGGTGTACTTCAATATACGTGACAAGTTAAAGAATGACAGCCAATTAAACACCTCTACAGCAGACACCAAAAGAAAAACCTTCTATTTCCAGGGGCCATGGAAATCTAAAACAAGATTCTGACATTACTTTTGACAACGTCTAAACATTATTGAAACTGAATCAAAAACCAAATTCCTAAGTTTCATTTGCATGTGTGCTAGCTCTTCCCTGCCTCCCCCTCATGCAAGCTCCCCAATAGAGATATGAGCACAAAGAAAGTAAATGAAATAAAAGCAAAGAATAAAAAGGAAGACGGCAGGAAAACAATCCTCAAAATTGGATAACTTAGGGTCAGAATAACTTAGACATGGTTGAATGCTATCCCGAGAAGAGGAATGTAGATTCTAGGCAAATTAAATTTTGGTACTTTTTTGCCATGGTGTGGAACTCTTTCACAATGATGGTTTTTAAAATTCTAGTAAGTAATCTTTTTTTAAAGTGAATCACAACCACCTATGAGAAATTTTTTTTAATTCAGAGTATGATAAGAATATGAAATAAAAGCTTTCACTACAGGAAATATTTGTGCCTTTCCTAACCAAAGAACATCATTAACAAATATTTAATCCCTTCTATGTGCTAGAGAAACATGGTCAGACATCTTTCTTAGGGAGCAAAAAGTCCAGTAATACAATCAGTATTCACAGCTTTAAAAAAATTACTAGGCTTTCAGCCATGAAAGAATAACAAGGAACAAATAGGAACTCCCACTGTTAAGAAGTAGAATACTGGCTAAAATACATAAAGCAACCACT